AAGAGAATGAACTAAAATATGTATTGAAATTTTCTTTACACCTCTAGCCTCTTGCAATAGACACAGGTGAGGGTGTGACAAAATTGGGTTTGGCAATATTATTTCTACTACAAAAGAAACTAGAGATTCTAAATAGGGAGTGTAGTGACTTGAAAGGTAGAAAGTTGCATGGCAAGGAACTTGTGGGCTCAGGGTAGAGAAATCCAAGTCACTTAGTCTGAAAACAGATCTGGCTCATTTTATATGAACTCGATATTGATATATCTGTAGATTATGTAAATATATCTTGACTAAAATCATCAAAATATTAACGGTATATAGGCAGATTTGGAAATAGTTAAACCTGGGATACAAATTGTCATCCCTAAAAAGCTTGTCATTACAGATTACAATTTCCAAATTGTGGAACACATAGACATGGAAAAATTAAAAGCTTTTGCTTATTCAGAGTGCTCTTGAAATAATTTATCTGGAGACCCCTATAAAGATTGTTGTAGCACAAAAAAAAAAAACCACAAGTAAAACACCATCCCCAAAATAGAAACAAATTTTGGAAAACCTAACAGTGTGTTAAGACACTACTGTCCTTGAACTCTTGTGTGTGGAATATTCTGTAAGGGTACTAAGTTCATTGCTAGCATCTGTCTATCTACAGAACATCCATACCCATGTTTAAAAGGAAAAACACCACAGGTAGATAACAAAAGAACAAAAGGGACCATGCATTTTAGCTTGTTGGTGCAGTAAAAAATTTAAATGTGTCACTAGCGCTCAAAATATGCCCTCTTCACTTCCTAATGCACAGACTTGTCCGGGAGTAGAAAATATTTGGTCGACCTAGCCTTTCTCTTTAGATAGCCAGTTTCTCCCCCATGGTAATATTTATATTCCACAAATTACTAAATAGATTGGGTTAAAAAAATATGGCAGAAAAGGAAGTGCCTTTATATAAGTTGGTTAGATGTGTGCCCTGCCTACAAATAACTGAGCTATGTCCTTGTTCTTTACGTAAGTTCCAAAATAATGATTTTATGTTTTGATCCATCTCTTTCTCAGGATTACTCCTAATAAATTCTTAAATTGATGAGGATTCACTTATTTCAGTATAAAGTAGTTCGAAAGTTTTTTATGACAACTTTATTGTCACTGAAAACTATTCTGAAAGGAATGCCCACTTTCCCCTGAAGGCTTGTTGTTGTATGCCTCACTCCTGTTGGAATGCCTTTGAGAGATTAAACTCATTTCTGAGCAATTGTTTTCAGAAACTCAGTATTTTGTTTCCAGAGCTCATGGCTGGATAGCTTGTAACCTGGTCTCTACCCCATATGTACCATGTGGTTTTCACACTTATCTCCAAAGGCCAAAGATTATCTCACAGAAGCTCCAAAATGATTCCTGTTTCTGAAATTTATGTGTAAAAGGAAATTTTTAAAGGAAAGAGGGTGAGAATCAAGTTCAAACTTAAGAATTTTTGTAAAGGATTATATTGATGAACAAAAGCTCTCTGGCATTTTTTGGCAGACATGTAAGAAAAGGCAGTGATTGTAATTAATTTTTAGTAAGTGCCGCATATTTGATAATTGCTCTGATTCATGCTATTATATTCCTCTTCCTTCACCACAGCAAAACAAGCTTAATTTGATTCATGCCCTTAGGAAGAAAAAAAAGGCTAAGATTACTCACATGGCTATGATTCAGCTCTTGGCTCCCACCACCTCCTCTTCCTCCTCCTCCCTTTCTCCCACCCTGCCCACTCCCATATTCACTCCCACCCAGTTGCCATCAAAAAAACTGAGTCAGTTCGTTCTTTAAAATGGGTGGGGAAAGAAGACAACTAATAAAACTTCTCTGAGGGCAGTATACTCCTTAGATCTGAAATCACTGCAGGAAGACGGGTAAAGTGGCTGCTTATATAACATGAAAAGGCTGGAACAGAGGCAAGGTCTCATAAAAGCAATGTTCAGATTGTCTTATATAAGTCTAGGCACAGTATGTGTGTATGTCTGTAGAGGCATACCTATGGCTGCATAGCTATGTTTCTATGAAAATTTTCTAATATTGGGAATCTCACATATACTGTAGACAAAACTAATCATCTGATCTCAAAGTAGGATACCTTGTTTTAATAACAATGAATCTAGCAGCTATCCAAATAGTTTTGATCATTGTAAAACATACATGATTAGTCACTTTGTCAGGCCTCGAGTGAACAAGATTCTCCCCAGCCCCAGGAGTTGTAAGATTGGTTTTGAGGGAGGCAGCTGACCCTTCGTGAGCCAATGGTGGTGGCAGACATTATGGAGGCAGTGATTTCTGTTTCTTCCTTGTATTTTTTCATTCCCATTCTTCAGATTAAACGAAAGCCTTGATGAAATAAAATGACTTTCCCGAGTCCCTCCCAGAGCCAGTATTGGAACCCAGGCTGTCTGTCTGCATCGTTACCTGTAGTTCTGGTTTATGAGAACTTGACACAGTTGGATCATGTGGAGATTGCCTGGGGACAGGAGTGGTGACTGGGAGGAAGCTTTATGTGGGGGTGCATTCCAGTAATACCCTAAAGGGAATCTTTTGGTAAAGTGAATAGTCAACTCCCTATTTAGCTGTTTTTCACTGTCTCGGGATATATACCTTTTCTCTGCCCTCTTCTGCCAATTTGAAAAGTAGGTATTTGAGCATTTTTATATGTTAAATAACAAAATTAATTACACATTAAGGTATCATCCAGGCAGTTGCTGACTTTGCTCAAGGTTAAAGGAAGTATGCTGAAAAGAGACAACTGCAGTTAAACTGCTCAAATCGAGCCTTCCAGATTTCTTGTGTGGGGACTTGTACTTCTTCTTACTGCATTCTTCCTGTCTGTGTAATACCTGGGAACCATTCATTCCATGTAATGCCACCCCCATCTTGGTAGTAAACTTTTAACTGAAGAGGAAGCCTTTTAGGCATGTCAACTTATTTAATTTGAACCTTCACAGATGACATTATGATGGTTTTCAGGTTTTTATTTTGCTGCTTTTAGGCAAGTTGGAATTAAAGGACTGTACAGATGTGTGTGTGTGTGTGTGTGTGTGTGTGTGTGTGTGTGTGAGTGATGTGGTTATATTTCATCTGTGCTAGCGTGTGAGTAGCTCCATTTAGAATGTGCATTGCAGTAAATGCAAAAGTGAAAGCTGCAACATGACTGTTATGTTCCTCACCACTTCCTGAAGAACCTGCCACATGAGCCCCAGACTTAGAGACTTAAACTGGGGTCCTCAGGACAGAAAGAGTCCTCCATGGTAAAAAGTCTCCAGTAGGCCTACACGTATACAATCTGTTAACTGCTGTCGTGTAAACTCAAATGTTTGGTTGCCTCGGCTGTATAGTTCTCAACAAATAATTCTGAAGCTTTCAATATTGGGGAATAGAACCCAAAACTTGCTATACCTTCAAAGTAATCACTTGAACTTCCTCGTTTACATGATCCAGTTCTTTGAAACCATTTAGAAAGTGCATTCTGCTCCTAAAATGTCCAAGTTATAAAAGAAAAATGTGAGCTTGTCAGATTAACTACAATCCCCAGTCTAATAAAACTGAGTCACATCCAAATGGTCTGCACTTACACTACCCTCCCCTTCTAGGGAAAATGTGTCTGGGGGAGGCAGTCTGAGTCATCACCTGGTTTGTTTGACATACGCTTCCTTCCATAAATTGGGAATGGCAAGCAGCACAGTGTTCTGGGCTTGTCTCAGGGAAGGAGCTGCTGCAGCCTTGCACAATCAAAATAGGGCCTTTAGGTTAAAGGATGAAGCTGAGCCCATATTTTGCCTTGGGATGCTGGGGGTAGGAAGAAAATGACAGACCCTAACAAAGAACATTTGTAAGTACCATCTGGGGTGGGGTGGGATTGGGGGTGGGGGGCTTGTGTCAAAGAAATGGAAGCAGTGTTCATAATTGAATTTTTCCTAGGACATAAGAAATATTTAAGAAATAAATTAATGGTGTTAAAATAAATAAGGGGGACCCATTTCCTTAAGAAGAAGGAATTTGATGTGAACAGTCGAAAATGATTGCATGAAAAAGGGCGGGTGTAAGAGATATATTATTTGGTGGTTACCAAACAAATTTGTCTTGACAATGTTTCATTTTCCCTGATTTACCCAACCATTTATGAAACGTTTTCATGGCAAACTCTGAATCTCCTTTAGGGGTATTTTGAGAGAATGAGGAGAGAAGAGGTGCATGTGTCTCGCACATTTTTCTTACAATGGCTTTGCAGAGGCTTACCAGAGCTTTTAAAAATAATTGAGAATGTAAAATTGTCACAGAGACTGTAGCGGAAGGGTAAGGAGGAGTAGACTTATAGCTGAAGTGGCTTTGTAAACGCAGTCTCTGCTTTGGGGTTGTTTTTTAATATGTGCCAGGCATTCCTCTGATTTCCATCCTGATTTGGTTGTGGCTATCTCTCTGTCTGTGTGAGGCTTGGGTGTTGCCTGTTTAAAAGCCGGAGTTGTCTCAGCCTGGGCGTTTTCTGTTTCGGCTTATGGCTCCCCCCCACCTCTTTTCCTGAATGAGTGTCCTTTGTATAACCCCAGTAATTCAGAAATCCTGCAGAGGGACTGCCCTGTCATGTGACTTGGGTACTAGGTGCTGCCTGTGATTGGTCAGCAGCTAATTGGCAGGTCCCTATAAGAGGTCTCACTTCTGGAGTCAGGCCACTCTCCTGCCTGGGCTGCTACTCAATGGGCACCAGAGGGTGGAGAGGGACGGGTGTCCAGTGATTCAGCCACATGTGATAGATGACCAAGTGACTGCTTGCTTGGAGTCCGTGCATCAGTGGAAGACACCCAACGGGTGGTGGCTGACTTGATCAAACTCTGGCTTCCTGAACTGGTAACTGTCACTTTAATAGAGCTTACTGATTAAACTCAGAAAAATGCAACTAAAACTCTTTGCCAGGAACTTGTGTGGACTTACTCCCTGTCTCCCCCCACCCCTTGTTCTTATTCGTTTTGTCACAGGAATGAAATGCAGATAACCCTTTAGAAAACTTTTGTAGGAAAGCACCTCGTGTGATCTGGAACAAAGACATTATATAATCAGATTTATCAAGCTGTGAAGAGGGAGTTTTAGCGAACAGAAGCAGCATTCTGTCACCAGGAAATACTGCTTTATCCAGAATTGGTAAGTTGAAAAATGGCATTGCTCCCTAATAGATATCATATGGTGTGTGGGGGAATTGTGAAATTGTTCACAGATCCCTAACAACTGTATTGAACCACAGAACCCATAAACAGAGTGAGGAATTCGAAAAAGTAGCAGCCCAAGAATATAGCATGAAGGCTGAGAAGCAGCCAGGTAATTAACAAAGATTAACTGAGCATTGCCAGTTTAGGCAAATATATGTAATACAACTAGTTTGGTTCTCCCCCCTTTTTACCTTTTCCTTTTTAATGGGGGGAATCAAAATGGGTTAGTTGGTAACACTGTAGCATTAACTTCCATGGACGTAGATTTCCATTTAGTATGGATAGTATGTATGATTTTTGGAAGAACGCTTTTATAATTAGGCAACTTGCCCTCCTTTTTCCATCCCTCTACCTAAGGATGTCAAGTATTTAGTTAGAACTCTACAAAATGAAAGTTTAAGTAATGCATTAGAAACATTTCTTACTGATTATGAAAGGCAGATTAAGATGATAATCGATTTTTTTACATTTGTATCATGAATTTTAAGAGTGTTCTATTTGATTCCATTAATATAGCAAAAGAGTAGTTTTTTCCATATGGTCCATTACACTTTGAAAGGTCCTGATGAGCCATGCTTACTGGTGAGCCTGTCTATCTTTCTCCAAAACTTTTAAATTGTTTTCTAATCTTGAATCTGAACTTCCTTTGTGTTTAAGTTGACCAGAAGAATACAATAAAGCTTTGAAGACCTGTGTTCTATACAGTAGGTTCTTGTTCAAGAATGCTAAGGAAACAAGTTTATATTAGGCATGAATGTCTGATTTCTTTTCTTGGCTTTTTAAGAATTATTTTTGCTGGAAAAGTTGAATAGAATAAGAAAATACTATTAGAATGGTGGGTGGCTACCTGATTTTACCAGTTTATTAATGGTCAATAGAAGCAGTCATGTGATATATATTTATAGAATCAGATAGAAAAGAATTGTTCTTTAACTGTTAGCAACAATATAGGTAACTTTGGTGATCTCTCTATATAAATGTGAATTCATAGAATTAAAGCTGTTATCAGAATTGTGCATTTTGGGATATATAGGATATAATATTATTTATTTTGTTTTCAGTATCTTAAGCCAAATTGAAGGTTGAAGCTGCATTTCTGACTTGGTTCCCATTCTGTTGCTTTCAAAATCTTAAAATTCATAACTTGAAATGGAAAATGTATAATAAAATGCAGGCTAGCAATGCTGTAGTTCTCTCTGGCACTAGCGTGGGATGAGGGTGGAGGAGAGGGAAATGAACCCATGGGGATACATTAATTGGTATTTTTTCTTTCATAATTTGAGAATGTTAAAGATTATTATTCTCAAACAGCTTTCAAAGACATAGACAAAGAGCAAGATAAGCATGGCCTTTAGGGGCAGGTCCTCCAATAAATCAGATCGATGATGCAAGTGTGAATATTACTATTATTTGACTTAATTAAGGTGTGGCTGAAGATGTGGAAAAAGTCTACTCATTTCCTTGAAGCACATGAATTTATGGGTTTTAGAGTCTTGAAGACAGAAAAATGGTGATGAAGAATTAAGATATTGACAGGTAATTTACATCCAACTCCTAGTTGTATGCAGTGATTCACAAGTATTTTCAGCTCTATTTCATGTAATTACTTGGGCAAAATATGATGATTTAACAATCTAGCTAAAGACTGCCATGCTTAATGGAAAAAAAGCCTCTATATAATTTGTAGATTTGACTCATCCATTTAGAATCCATTGTCGTGAATGAAAAGACAAAAACAAAAACCGATAGAAGCAGGCTGAAACAGTAAATGCTGGAAAGTATTTTCCAGAATAATTCTTTTAGATCTTCATGATTTCAGTTCTGTTTGCTGTGCTGTTATTTACAAAAATATATGAAAACTAAATAACATGGCATTGTCCTGAATTCTCCACTGGTGTTATTGAAAGTGTTAATAGCGTGTATACTCTGTAAACAGTGACAGACCTCAAATTAGTTCCTCCCAAATTGTATTTGGTATTTTTATAGTCAGAAATAGAAAGGCTTTCCCTTGGGGCTTGTTTCTTACATTTTTGCTGTGGTGTACCTTTTTGCCCAATTTGCCCAATTTTTCAAGGTATGTATATGTATGTGTTTATATACTTGATTGGAAGGGGGAGCTTTAATTGCTAGCAAAACAAGTGGGTGTTTGTTAGAACCTAGATAAGCCTCATAGTGTTGTTCCTATGACAACTGAGGGGTTGGGTGTTGAAATGTAGCTTTAAGTTCTCAGTTTGGAAATGTCATTCAGACCTCCCACCACAGTCTTATTGAGTAGGAGGATAATGAGAAGGGGGGAAAAACCACGAAGCAACATAAGTATCTCCATTCTTTTCATGTCTTCCTGACTTGTCTTTGTGTATGGATCACCATGGGGGTGGTAAACCCTAGGTCTTGAACAAAGCAATGCTTCAGCATAAAATAAATGGAAAGAGGTCAAAAAAGTTGGGGAAGATAAATAACAAACAGGGGTAATAGGCAGAAGAAGTCTTTTATCCAGCGCGGACCAGCAGTGAGACCATCTTGAATGAGTTACTGTATATCTCTTCAAGAGCTGCAAATATTTCCTTAAAACGCAATGTGGAGAAAATTCCTTCGGAAGCAGGATAGTTTACCACTTTGGCATAATGCTTATTTATCTCCCCTAGGCTGATTACAGAGGACACTATTCTTTTAAGGTACATGCTTTTAAGTCAGTTATTTCTCATTTAATAGCTTGTCTTTTTTTTTCCCTATGGGAAAGATCAATCGTGCTATTAAAAAGTGGTAAACTTGGGTATTTTACCCTATGTTCAAAAATTACTTGAAAAAAAAACCCTTAAAGACTGTTAGAGACTGGTTGTTTGTGGAAATGATTTGGTTGACTGAGAATCTTATGGCACACTGTATTGGGGGGCAAAGGTTGTTTAGACCAATTTTGGGGATCGATTAGTTATGCAGTGTGGATTTTCCATGCCTAAAGGGCTTCCTACTTTCTACTCTTAAATGGTTTTTACTATTTATTTGGTCATTAGCATATCCAGAAGTTAGAAAGGAAAAATAGACTTCAGTGGGTTTTACCCCTTACTTAATATATAGGTCCACCATCTCTATTGAAATCCAAAAAGGTCTGAAAACCAAATGATTTTAATGTCAAAAACTTGGTAGCAGATCATGACCTGAACTGACGTGAAGCTATTTGTAGTCTTTATCTCACTTCATACAAATGTTAGTATGTTTTATTGTAGCAATATTAATATGTTTGGTCATGGAGTGCTGCACCAGACTTGCCTGGAATTTTATATTGATGGAATAGTTACCCTATTAAATTTACAAAATTTCAGATAAGGATTTGTGGACTTCTAATTACTGATATGCGTGGAGCTTATATTATGTGCCAGGGATATAATTATCTCCATTTTACATGGGAAACTGATGCACAGAGAGGTGAAGCAACTTGCCCAAAGAAACACAGCCAGGAAATTGTAGAGCCAGGATTTGGAAGCCATTAGTCTAACTGCAGCCTACTCTTAACTGAGAATGCTTATAACAGGTTCTCCTAGCGGGGAGTGTGCAAGTTCCAGGGGTCTCAGAGGCTCCTAATCTCTTCACACGTTTCCTAACATTGATCTCTATCAACAGTCTGACTTCTTTAGTTGGGAAAATGAAGACAAAAAAATAACTCTTTCCTTAGCCCCAAGGAACTTATCTTGACTAGTGGAAAAAGTTATTGCGTAGACATTCCCTGGGTCCTTAACTCCAGCAGGAGGTCTGGGCTGTGAGGAAAGAGGGCGTGGGTCATCTGGGGGGGGGGGGGCTCCCTAGCATGGGAGCCAAACTAAGACAAAGCAAGGCTCCCAGGGGGGAATCAGGCAGCAGCCTTCGTTCCTCTGAAAGGATACTTTTTTTAAAAAAAAAAAATTTCTTTATTGATTAAGGTATTACATATATGAAAGGATACTTTTAACACTACTTCAAGAAAGTATATAAGGTGTCTCTCCAATACATATATATTTCTAGGGATAAAAAAACTCATTCCATGCTAATAGCAACTTCCCCATTCTATTTCCCAAATTCCCTCTCCCTCTAACCTGCTTAATTTCCTTGTTAGCATTTATCTCTGGCATATTGTAAGCTTTACTTATTTATTCATTTGGTATTTTAGTCAAACACCAGCAGTAATGTTATCTTTGAACAAATTTAAAGTTTCAAATTTGTTTCTCTTTGATCTCCATCTGCAAACTAATTTTCTCCTGTCAATCTTAGACTACTAGAAATAAGGTTTTTTGCTTATTGGATTATTCTCATTATTAGTTATCATTTTTATATTCACAGCCATGGAAATTTCTTTATCTTAAACAAACTGTTTTGATTGTGCAATCAGAATTTGGAGGACTGCAATCACTGAGTATTTTTAAATTCCATAAGATTGTAATTAATTGCAAAGGAGAGCATGCATAGTAAAATATTTTTATATTTTGTGAACTACTTTCAACTTAGATAGGGAAGTGTGGAACTATACATAACATTGAATCCAGCAAAAAAATTAAAACTATCTACGGGCTAACTTTTTCCTTTGAAAAATTAAAAATATCAATATAAAAAAATTGTTCTTCATGTTATGCTAAAATTGTAAATGATTTAATCTTGGACATTTCCTGGCTCAAGTTCTTAAATTCTCAACTGCAGCCTATTGTCTTTTAATCCTATATTTATTCTAGTTTATGCATTCTGAAGTATTAAAGATAATATAGAACAAAATTTAGAAATACATATATTATTTACTATACTAGTAAATACTGTGGTCATGTAAATACATCACTAGAGCATTTATATACTTGATTTTCTTTTAAATTCTTTAAAGAACAGATTAGATGCATGTAAAAGTTAAATATAATATGCTTTTGTAAGTCAATATAATAATTGAGATACTTTACTTTTCTTAGCTATATTTTAATAACACAATAGTTTCCAGTTACTTTCTTTTAAAGGTTGATCTAATAAAGTAATAATTTGCTTAAAAATGAAATGTAACTGGTTAGTTTAAGGTAGAAGATGGAGTCATTGATTATGAAAAGCTAAGGTTTTATTTTAAAGGATCTTCCTTTCTGCCTGGAAGAGTTGAATCTCCTGAAGCACCTCGTCTACAGAAAGCCCAATGCTGGTGGTGGTATTGGAAGAAAGCTTACTTTTTCCACCTTTTCTAAAAGCAGATGGATAAAGACTTTTTAAATGAAAACCCATTGATTTCTCTCAATTAGGATTTGAGTGGCTAGGGTTGTTAAAATATTAAAAACACACACACACACACACACACACACCTGTGAATCTGTACAGGTTCAGCAACATTTTGCAGCGCCCTTCCAAAGTTCTGGTTGCCTGAAAAAATTCTCCAAACCTCCAGACATTGTGCAGTGGGTATCAAATATATGACAGTGGTTACCAGGACTGCAACAAGGTGCCTGCTCACGGCATCCGTTACAGTGTTTGCTCCTTAAGGGACCCAGGCTTTGGAAACAAGTAGTCTGTGTGCATTGAGCTCCCTTTGCTCCCTGCTAGCTGAGTAAGCTACTCCATTTATTTCCCTAAGCCCCAGAGAGTGGAGTGTCAGTACTAGCTCACAAGGCTGCTGTATTAAATTAGATAACACATGTGAAGCACATGCTGTGGTCCCTGGAGTAAAGGTGCTTAACACACTTGAGTTCCCTTCCCAAATCCTTTTAGGAACAGACTTCAGTTTAATATTAAACCCTATGGATCCATATGTATTTTTTTTTTCATATCAGGTTAAGTAAAACAGTGATGACAATGGTGGCTGCCATTTATTGCATACTTAACCATGTTCTAAATAGGCACTATGGTATTAGCTCTACTTGCATTCAACTGCTCAATCTTCTTGATAACCCATTGGTTCAATTACTGTGCCCATTTCATAGATGAGGACATTGAGGCTAGTAAGGTAAAAGAATATGTTTGACTGCTCAGCTGGTAAGTTGTGGAGCCAGGCTTTAAATCCAAATAGGCGGTTGGCAGTATAGATGGAAAGTACTTCTTTCGGACAGAAAAGGAGAATAAAAGTTGACTGAACCCGAAAGTCTCAGAAATGGCCTTCTCATTTCTAATTTGCAAAGTGTCACATCTGCCAGGCCTGGCCCTCTCAGTATTGAAATACAAAGTTGACTTTTTCTGTTTCTTATTTTACAAATCAACAGGAACAGTTTTAGTCATTTGTGTTTTATGAAGTTTTAATTAGGCCACTGAAGTCCATGAGGGGAATTCCTTGTTTTCAGTTGATCTCATGCACTAACAAATTTACTCATGTAACTTCCCCTATTTTTTTTCTCTAATGTTTTCACTTGAAAGTGGGGGTGAAAGGGAGAGCTTATGTGAGCATTTGAGTCCTAGGGATGTACTTTCAGCAACCTCTCTGGAGATTCTTCTATCTGGTATAGAATTAATCCATAGAAAAGTAAAATGAGTAAGAATCTATACTTACTAATATTTTTCTCCTTTATCACCATCTAGTTTTAGGTGATATCTAGAGGGGTAAAACGTCTAAGTAAATAATTATAAGAAGCCATCTGTTTGCATAAAACCTTATCCTTGGATAAGGAGTTAAATTTTCAGAATATGAGAAAGGGGATTCACATTGAGAGTTTCCTCCTCTATCAGATGTAGGCTGAGAATTTGACTGGGAGGGGAAGCAGGCTACCCTAACCCATGGGGTTCAGAGTGCTTAGAAATCTTTTTTTAAAAATCTCCTGGCCTTGGACTGAGGCTGTCTGTAGGAGGATATACTAGTCATGCCTGCCTTCATTCTTTTATTTGTTCAATTGTTCATTCGTTCATCCACTATCTCACATAACTCATTCAGCACCTACCTGCAGATGGATGAAAGAAAGGCTAGGATTAGGATCCATGAAGGGGAAGAAGAGGAGGAACTACAAATTCACTTTCTTTCTTGCACCTCAGTGACTATGTCTCTTATTTGATTCTTTGTCATTTTTGAGACAAGGCACATTTTACAGAATCACATTCATAAAAGTTTTGAAGCTAATCTTCCTTTGGCAGCCAGCTTTCTTTTTTAATAAGGGAAAGAAAAGGCTTATGACAAGAAAATAATGCAGAGAAATTGGTTTTATTTCCTTTTTTAATGGAGGTAGAAGAAAGATTCATAGTAGAGAATGTGTTAATAAATAATGTCTAAGAATTCCCCTGAGCTTTCAACTCATTTCCCTGTTTAGAGAACATTAAGAGAGAACAAAGGCCTCTACAATAATGTCTTGGAAAATGATTTTTAAATAGAATTTAAATCAATTTGGAGGTACAAAGTCCTGCTCTGCCCTCCATTAAATATATTATGAGTTTAAAAATAAAGTATCACTAAGTAAAAAATGTGAAAAATGAGGGCTACCCTTTCTTCTGGGGAGGTAAAGACAGGGAGGAGGGTTTATGCTACTAACACTTCAAAAAGTGTTACTTGTCCCAATGCTGCAGTTAGGGTTACTCTTCCTTCAGGCAGATAGAGTCTTTACTTGTGATTTAGTAATGATTTAAACCTGGGAGTCATTTCCCATACTTTTTGGAAAACACACAACTAGTCATCAAGTTCTTTGTAATAGCACAAATTTGGTCTGTGTGTTTTCTGATACCGGTTGGATCACGCAGCAATGCTTTATATCTTTCAGGATGAAATGTTAAGTCTATGCCGCAGACTTAGTACAACAAGTACTCTTTCGGACAAGTTAAGTTAGTAAAGGCAGTAAATTCTATCTTTCTCTCCATCCTGTTTGATAGCCATACTCTAAAAGACCCTTCCTTATCTTTTACCTATGGATAGTAGGGAGAGTATAAGCAAGGTGTTCCTTCTGAACTCATCCCTGCACAATTTCTCTTAAGGTTGGGGAAATGATCATCTGGCCCTTGAAGTATGGGGGTATTAGCAAAAATTGTCCCAGGTTCCATCTAAACCTCCTAAGCTTATAACGGAACAATTGGCAAAGATACCATATGGTATATAGTCATTTTACAAAAATAGATATTTATTGCATACCTACTACATGCCAGACTGTTCTCTCTCTTGGAATATAGCAGTGAACAGGTCTCTGCTCACATGGAGGGGGGAGACTGACAGTGATTGAGCAAATAAATATGTGGCAGGAGTTAGTACATGCTATGGAATAAAATAAAACTGTGTCAGACAGATAGGGAGTAACAGGGGTCCAGGGAAGAACTACTTTATCGAGGGCTGACAGGAAAGGCTTTTCTAATGTTTATGCAGAGAATTATCCATGGGAAATGAGGAGCCAACCAGAAGGATATCTGGAGGAAGAGGATTCCAGGCAGAGAAGACAGTCACTGCAGTGGAGGTGGGAGCAAGTTGAGCAGGTTTAAGGGACAGAAAAGAGCCGGTGTAGAACAGCAAGCAAGGGGGAAAGTGGTAGATGAGGTCTGGGAGGTAGTGAATGGCAGATCACACAGTTGGCCATAGTAAGAAACTGCTGGAACATAGGACATGATAGCTAAAGATAAGGAGAATGGGAAGTTTGTAATGGCACAGATTTGGTCTGTGTGTTTTCTGATACAGGTTCTAGAGTATAGGTTATTTATATAGGGATTCTAGAGAATCCACCCATTGTGCCCCATAACCTGAGTGTGCACATGTTGGTAAGGGCTCTCATAAAATGCTACTATTGTAACTTTAATTATTATAATATGGAAACCTTGATGATAAACAGTTTAGAATTTTGAAATGCATGGTTTTAAGTACTTGGGTGTTAAAAGTATTTTGG